TAACAAGCAACATACGGTGTTGCTAAAAATGTCCCACCTTGAAAGAGAGTTTGGCACCTTGAACCTTTGCGGTCAGAGACGTACGCCAGGGGTGCTAGCCACTCAAGCCCCCCGTAGAGCATATGATGCAGGTCCTCCAAGTATTGCAAGTGCAAAGTATGATGATCTGATGAGTCTTTGCACAGGTCAAACCCCAGTGATAAGACATTCGGAATACCAGCAGTTTTACAAAGAATTGCCACATCTCAAAAAAAAGTAGTCCCTATCAATGTTTTTGATCAGTGCTAGACTCGTCAGATCATCAGCTCATACTTTGCTCTTCCTGACATGCTTCATTGGCGCTGGCCCAATCGTTTCTATGAAATTAAAACTTTTAGCTTTTGAGAAAGGTTTAATCACAAGGGAAACTGACTGTGTATCATAACAATTAAATGTTTGGGCAAAGGGATGACTGAGGTGGGACTCGAGCCTGTCACTTGCAGACTGCCGCTCCAAAACTTCTAATTTCATTTACAATGTAACAGCAAGAACATGTATTTGTAGACAATTCTAAAGTTTTAACAAAGCAGAAGTACCCTTTAAAGTTTTGATTGTCCAGATTTGTGTAAAAAACTACATGGTCTTAATAAGGTATGAGACAAGATTTGTTGCATGAAAAATTGATTTGAAGTTCCATAAATATTTCATAAATTGAATACAAAATGTAAAAATGTTAAGCCTTTGAAAAAAAAGGCAATATTCTAATGATGTAAAATACACTCATTTCAGCTTTGCAAAACTCAATGAATTTGAATTACAACACTTCGTTATTGCCACAAGTGTTAAAATTATTTAAGACTTTCATGAACCACTCTACAAAATACTTTGATGCCCCTCTGCAAATCTAGAAAAAATATGCAATTTTTGATGTTTGATAAACAAGGACAAACGCATATTGGCATATTGTGTCTTACACAGTACAGCCCAAAAGCACATAAGTAAGGAAACTAAACTAGAAATAAACAACATTTTTCAAACCTAACTTTTACACAAATGTTATTAAAATGAATGAAATAAACATACAGCACAAATTTGAATCGAATTAACTTGCTCAAGTGTTTTATTTTAAGTGTTTGAACCTCTTGCAAGGACTGGATTTCAATATCGCTTCTTCATATAGGCCTAGGCTCTTGTTTTGTCGCCGTACTCGCCCACGCCAACTCACCAAACTCAGTTTAATATATTATAGTAGAAAGTGGTAATAAAATTGACAAATTGATGCTTAATTGCGTTAAAACAGCCAGAAAATGTGATTACTAATCATTTGCCTTTGTTTGCGTGCATTGCGTACTGGTTCGTCAGTATGGGATAAAATAAACGCAGTGTGACATGGCGCGGCATTTTTTTTTCATACTGACGATTAAGGCACATAAAGTGACGAATAACTATTTGGTTCCGATTTCTGTTTTTTCCATAATGACGAACGCGTATGAAAAGCTCTAAATGAAATATTACAACTCCTTAAAACTCAAATGACACGAAAACATCAAATTCAACATGTCCAAGGTCTGTATGGGTCTTTATGTTTGATTCCACTGGAACCGAGGGTTCTGTAACTAATGCACAAAAGCAGTTCAGCTTCAAACCCGATTTACTCGAAACGCGCTGTGTTACCTGTTCGCCAGTATGGAAAAAACGCGACGAATTGTTTACGTCATGTTCGAGCTAAAGTGCGCGTGCTCAATATGACGCAAACAGTGCAAAAGGGACGGGCACATTGTAGGGCGATAGCACTGCACATCAATAAAGGGTTAATAAACAATAGTACACTTTCTTCCTCATAATCGTGTGCATTGTTTGCACGAAAAGTTCTCAAAAACGCTGCTAGCGGTCAAGCAATTTGCCCCTCCCGGACAGGCACATTTTCAACTTGCCCCTCCCGAACAGGCGCATTTTCAACTGGCCCTGCACTAGTCTATCTATACTACAATTCAAGGAATCTCTGTCTGTCTGTCTGTCTGTGTGTCTGTCTGTCCGTCTGTCTGTCTGTCTGTCCGCCGATTATCTCCAGAACCGGGCACCGTATGAAGTTGAAAATCGGCGGGCGTATTGCTCGGGACACCAGAATGTGCAGTGCCAAGTTTGAAGTTGTTTGGACCAGCGGTTTCGAAAAAGCTGCAAAAAGCATGATTTTCTGAGCCTCAACGTGGCAGAGTATAGCCTAGAACACGCGGAGTCCTTTTCAATTGTTTACGTCATGTTCGAGCTAAAGCGCGCGTCCTCGCATAAAATAATAAGCCGCGTGTAGAATAATAAGCCGCGTCAATCATAGATATAGTTCTATATCTATGGCGTCAATATGCCGCGTCCGCGCATAGAATAGAGGGTAAATAAACAATGGTGTTGAGGCCAGTCTTCTGCGCGCTTCTGGTTTGCGTACTGCGCGCACTTACGCGTTCTTAATCAGTTCAAATGTTACGCGTGGCAACTACTTGTTTTCAGTTCGTTCGCCACGGCCAGCTAGACAACAATTTTCTTTTACCGTTCTCTATTGTTCTCTCTCATTTTCATTGAGTTGTTCATTTTCTAAGATGAATCTGCATGTACATCTGTGATGCCTGTTCTGAGGTATGTAATGACACCTGCAGTATGAACAATAAACCAACTGTTAATCATATAGACAGGTTTCTAGCATCGATAATTCTAGAAACTATAGGTCCGATTGAGATCGCGTTATTGGAAATCGGCGGCCTGTGGCAAAATGTGGGGAAATAGAATTTGAACCCTACATTTTAGTAAAAGAAAAATTGATTATGAACTGTAGATCTACTGAATGTGCTACCCAGTTTCTTCGTGAACATTTGTAGAGTGTAGCTATAGAACTTTGAAGTAGAATTACTGCGGGTTCCCTGTATTTCTTCACCCGTACCGGACAATTTCGGGCATCGATAAATCGTCTTGCCTTGATGATGTCGCCATAGAGGGCGCTATATATTTACCTACCGGTTTTATGATGCCGTAATATCATTTCTGTTATATTTCACGTCGGAGAACATCAAAGAATGATGGATGCCAAAGATAGTGTTTCTCAAATTTCACCCATGAGTAACAGAACATCAAGCTCAGTTCATGTGAAAGCAGCCGCAAAACGAGCTGAACTGTTATGTAGGCAACGTCTACTGACAAAGAAACAAGAATTAGAATCTAGACATCTTGCTGTGCAACAAGCTAGGCAACAGGAAGAATTTAGACTGCAGAGAGAAAAGGAAAACTTCGACCTGCAGGTAGAAATAGAAGTTTCTGAAGCCAGCATTAGTGCTATAGAGCAATATGAAGATGAGTTTGATCAGAAAATCAGATTCAAGTTGCCCGACGAAATTCCTCATCCGGCGGCATGTGCAAGTTCTGTGTTGGGTGATAGATTGAAGCTGGAGCATCTGAAAGGGTCTCTTCAAATGAAGAGCCCAACAAGATTGAAAATCCTTGGTCGATACCGCAAGACTTTCAAGGTAAAGTAGATGAAGTCGAAAACCGGATGCCAGAATTGACTCCGCAGGTGAATATAGGCCAGCTACACAAAGATTGTGCTCAGCTGGATCACCATGATGTGCCTGAGCCAACTACAGCACAACGGTATCAACCACATCTGCAGCCCATTTCCGATATCGGTGAGCTGACGCAACCTTTGATCAAGCAACAAGTTAGAGCTGCGTTACCAGCACAACAGATAGAAACCTTCAATGGCGATACACTGAAGTACACAAGATTCGTCAAGTCCTTTGAGTTCGGTGTCGAAGACAAGACCACAGACGGTAGAGATAGACTGAATTATCTTTGCCAATATACCTCCGGAGAGCCCAACACTCTGGTAAGCAGTTGTTTACATTACCATGATGCTGAAGAGGGCTACAGCAAGGCTAAAGAGTTGCTAGCCAAAAGATACGGCAACAGTCACAAGATTGCTCAGGCGGTTTTAAACAAAGCCAATAATTGGCCTGACATCAGAGCAGAAGATGCTACTGGCCTGAATAAGTTTTCGATATTCTTATCGGAGTGCAAGAACATGACAAGTTCTGTCAGCGCTCTCAGTGAATTGAACCACACCCAGAGCATCCAGATGTTGGTCGAGAAACTTCCGTACAGACTGCGCAGCATGTGGAGAAACAAAGTGTATGAAGTGGAAGAAGAGAAAAAGAGATGCATTGTCCTTGACGATCTGGTGAGTTTCGTAGATCGACACTCTCAGATACTCTCCAACCCAACGTTTGGAAGGCTACGTGAGACTCCCCACCTAGGCAAGAATAACATTGGAGAGAAGAACAAAAGAGTTCAAGTCAAGAAAGAGGCATTTGGCACCGCTGTGAATAGCCATGCAGAGAAAGCAAGGCAGAAGAAGTCTTGTCAATTCTGTGGCGGTAACTCCCATCACGCTACATTAGAATGCATGAAATTCGCGCAGTTGAGTTGGAAGGACAAGTCGTCATTCTGTTTCAAACACGGATTGTGTTTTGGCTGCCTGGGGGTCGGTCATAGGAAATCAAGCTGTAAACAGAGAGAGTTAAGTGAATGCAGCAAATGTCCAGGCAACCATCCAACAGTTCTGCATAATGATGAGAAAATCACTAAGACGTCCCACCCAGCGCAGAACTCTCAGACCCAAGTCACAACGGGGTGTGCAGGTGTACTAGGGGCTGGGGCGAATTTGCACGCATCTGGCAGTCCTCGAATGGCTATCGTACCCGTCTTAGTAAAGGCATCTTCAAGTCATGAATGCATTGCCACGTCCGCATTTCTAGACAACGGATGTGGAGCAGTTTTCGCAGACAGCGAGATTTGCAGAGCACTGAAGGTGAGAACAAGGAAGAGAAGTATAATACTGAAAACCTTGAATTCAGAAGAAGTTGTCGACTCTGCTATCGTGATAGATAGACTCCAGTTGGGAGGGATGATAAGAGGAGAACAGCTTCATCGACCTACCTGATGTGTATGTCAAGAATGACATTCCTGTGTCGCCAGAAGACATGGTAACGAAAGATGATCTGCAGGAATGGACCCACCTGTCACACATACAACTACCACAACTGTGCAGCCCAGCGATTCCAAGGGTAACCCTAATCATAGGTATGAACGTACCAGCTGCTACAACACCAATTGAGGTCATCAGAGGCAACTCGGGAGATCCTTATGGTGTTAAGACCCCTGTGGGATGGGTCATCTATGGAGTGCCCGGCAGACCCAAATCCCAACTTGATGCGAACTACATCAACGTACTAGATGGCTTGACCAACCTGGAAGATCAATACAAGCACTACATGAACTTAGAATTCAATGAAAGGTTGGGCGAAAGCCAAGATGAAAGTGCACTGTCAAGGGAAGACATGCGCTTCTTAGACATTGTCAAAGAAACTACAGAGTTTCAAGGCGGTCACTATCAGATGGCACTACCACTACAGCGACCCACAGTAAGAATGCCTGACAACCGCTCGCTGGCAGAAAAGAGAGCTGTTCAACTGAAGCGGAAGTTCGATAAGAACCAAGAGTTCAAAGAGAAATATGTGCAAGCTATGGAAGATACCATAGGCAAGGGTTATGTTGAAAAGGTTCCCGACAGCCAGAAGTTCAGAAGTGATGGTAAAGTCTGGTTCATCCCACATCACGGTGTTTACCAAGTTCAGAAGCAGAAGATGAGAGTGGTGTACGACTGCGCCGCAGAGTATGGTGGTGTTTCCCTGAACCGACAGCTGTTACAAGGGCCAGACATGACCAATGGTCTCACAGGTGTGCTGATGAGATTCAGACAAGAACCAATTGCCGTCAAAGCTGACATAGAGGCAATGTTCTACCAAGTGAGGGTGAGATCGGAAGATAGAGATCTCCTAAGATTCCTATGGTGGCCAGGTGGAGATCTGAGTCGTGAATTAGAAGAGTATAGAATGACAGTGCACGTCTTTGGTGCAGCATCGTCTCCCAGCTGTGCCAATTATGCACTACGTAGGACAGCTACAGACAACGAACAGCGCTATCGCTCGGAAGTTACGAATGCTGTCAGGAAGAATTTCTACGTCGATGACTTTTGCAAGTCAGTACCAGATAAACAAGAGGCCAAGGTCATCTCGAGGGAAGTGACAGACCTGTTAGCTGAGGGTGGATTCAGACTCACCAAGTGGGTCAGCAATCAGCGAGAAGTCTTACGGTTGATTCCTAGGGAAGAATGGTCTAAGGAGGTAAAAGGCCTGCAGATTGATCAAGATGTTCTTCCACCAGAGAAAACTCTTGGAGTCTTGTGGTGTATGGAGAGCGACACCTTCGGCTTCGAGATCAATGTGAAAGATCGTGAACCCACACGTCGTGGTATACTATCCATTGTGAGTTCAGTTTATGATCCGTTGGGAATGGTCAGTGCTGCCATTATGCCTGCCAAGTTGCTGCTTCAGGATCTATGCAGATTGAAGTTGAACTGGGATGAGAAGATTCCTCAAGAACACCTGCACAAATGGAACCTTTGGCTGATGGACCTACCCAAACTAGAATGCATCTCAGTAGATAGATGCTTCAAGCCTGAAGGCTTTCAGGATCCTGTTAGTGTGCAGATCCATCACTTTGCCGATGCCAGTGAGAAAGGGTATGGCGTCGTCAGCTACCTGAGACTACAGAACAGATATGGAGATGTTCATTGCTCCTTTGTTACATCCAAATCAAGAGTGACCCCGTTGAAGCAGCAATCCATACCCAGACTTGAACTTACAGCAGCCAGTGTAGCTGTGAGAGTACACAACTTGATAGTTAGAGAGCTGGAGATCCCTGTTGACCGGACTTTCTTCTGGACAGACAGTATGACCGTCATCAAGTATATCTGCAATGAGACGACAAGGTTCAAGTCTTTCGTGGCTAATCGACTTACAGTGATAAGGGACAGTTCTCATCCATGTCAGTGGAAGTATGTGACATCAGAACAGAATCCAGCAGACGACTGTTCAAGGGGACTTCCCATCGACAAGTTCATTGCCAATAGGAGATGGTTCCGAGGACCAGAGTTTCTCTGGCATGCAGAAGCAGATTGGCCTTCAACTTGCGTGACCGAGGAGCCAGAAGTAGATCGGGACCCAGAAGTAAAGCGTGTCATGGCGGCAGTTCCGATTGAAAATCTGCCGAGTCGGTCAAATGCAGTTAAGAAGCTGATAGAATACTACTCAGAATGGAATCGTCTGAGGAGAGCCGCAGCATGGTGGCTACGGTTAAAGAGATTCCTGAGAAAGAAAAGCAAAGAAGAATTCAAACATGACGCTGTGAACAACCTCACAGTGGAAGAAATAGAAGAAGCTGAAGTGAGTATCTTGAGATGGGTTCAACATAAGGCATTTCCTCACCAGATAAAGAGGCTTCAAGAAATGAATGATGGCCCTCAAGATCTCACAAGGGAATCTCCAAAACAGCAGAAAGTGGATAAGCTGTTAGACCAGTTAGACCCAGTGATGCACAAGAGCTTGATGAGGGTCGGCGGTAGGTTACAAGCCGCTCAACTCCCAGAGGAAGCCAAACATCAGATAATCCTGCCACAAAGGTGCCACGTGACAGACCTGATTATGCAACATACACACCAAAAGATTCACCACCAAGGCAGAAATCATGTACTTGCAGAGCTGCGCCGGAGATATTGGATTTTGAAGGCAGGAGTGGTCTTGAAGAGTGTGTTGAAGAGGTGCGTGATTTGCAAGAAAGTCCAAGCTAAATTGGGTCAGCAGAAGATGGCAAACTTACCCGCTAACAGGCTGCTATCTGAGAAGCCAGCCTTCACTAGCACCGGAATAGATTACTTTGGCCCCTTCAATATCAAGCAGGGCCGCAACATAAAGAAGCGGTATGGAGTAGTATTTACCTGCTCGACCAGCCGAGCAGTTCACATTGAGATTGCAGAGAGCCTAGACACAAGCTCGTGCATAAATGCAGTGAGACGCTTCATTGCCAGAAGAGGAAATATAAAAGAGTTGATTTCCGACAATGGTACCAACCTCGTGGGTGCTCATGCAGAGTTGAAAAAGGCGATGAGCGAGTGGAATCATGAAACTCTCGAGAAATTCGCAACTGATCGTGGTATCACCTGGAAGTTCAACCCGCCAGCAGCTTCACACTTTGGCGGCATCTGGGAACGCCAAATCCGTACCATTCGGAAGATACTACAAGCCATGTTGAATGAGCAGCATATGAGAGTGTGTAGAGATGAGGAACAGCTCAGGACCTTGATGTGTGAAGTTGAGTACACAATTAACAGTAGACCGTTAACCCATGCGTCTGGTGATCCTAAGGATTTGAACGCCATCACTCCCAATGATTTGCTCTTGCTGAGACCGAGCAGTCTATACGTCGCACCACCTGGTGTTTTCTCAGAGAAAGATCAGTATGCGAAGAGGCGATGGCGCCAAATGCAGTATTTGGCAGACCTGTTCTGGAAGCGATGGTCTAGAGAATACCTGATGGATCTTCAACGGCGCCAAAAATGGTTGTACCCTCAGAGGAACCTACACCCTGGTGATGTGGTGTTAGTTGCCGACAATCAAGCACCGCGCAGTTCGGGCCCCTTGGAATAGTGGAAAAAACCTATCCTGACAAGAATGGATTGATCAGGAGTGCTGAGGTAAAAACAAAAACGGCTCTTCTGGTGAGACCGGTCACGAAGCTTTGCCTTCTCCTTGAGCAAGAAACTTCAGTTCTAAAGGATCACAATGAGCCATTGTGTAATGCACAACAGTTATAGACACTTTGAAGAGACGAGTCCCCGGCGTCTAAACTGGGACACCTAACTGCAGGGTTTTCCCTAGAGTTGGGATGGGTTGCTGGGAACCCAAGTCAGATTAAAAGCAAGACTGACTTTAAGGGTCCTTTCAAGCTGTTGCTTAAGGATACCAACCAGACAGTGGATCTTCACAAGGGAGACCTTCAATGTTCTACAGCCACCATTTCACCTGGAACACCTGTCAGTTCGATGCAGTGAGATTTAGTCTTCGCGGATGGAGCTGCAGGTTCTGAAGCCAAATTCTACTTTAAATCATCGCAAGACGATTCTGGACATTTGACGAATTGTACTCATCTTAATGGAAGTCCCCGTGAATGTTATGTCTTTTAAAGTAATTTTAAGAATGTTCAGCATACGCTGTACAGTTATACTCTACTTGTTGAAAAGACATTGTTCTACTTAGTACAAGTGTTTACCTTTTTCCAAGTTGTTAGATGTGTCCTATTTGTTTTGATGAAATCTCACTTTCTTAAAGCTTTTTTTTGTGAAGCATGCAAAGACTGTTGTTATGAAAACTTATAAACTTGTTTGATGAGTCTTTATTTTTATTGCTACAGGGATGCATGAATAGACACCATTTGCTGGAGTTACACCTGTGTGCACTCTGAATTCAGTGCTTCGGTTGACAAGCATCTAGTATTCTACAGGTTTCTCTTTAAAGCAGAAACGATTGCTGCAATTAGTTCTATTTTTAAAGTGCGTTTAAATTAGTGCCTGAGTCTTTTATAGTTTTCATGATTTGAGGTAATTGTATGTTCGTTACATAACAATTAAGGGGCTGGAATGTTGAGGCCAGTCTTCTGCGCGCTTCTGGTTTGCGTACTGCGCGCACTTACGCGTTCTTAATCAGTTCAAATGTTACGCGTGGCAACTACTTGTTTTCAGTTCGTTCGCCACGGCCAGCTAGACAACAATTTTCTTTTACCGTTCTCTCTCATTTTCATTGAGTTGTTCATTTTCTAAGATGAATCTACATGTACATCTGTGATGCCTGTTCTGAGGTATGTAATGACACCTGCAGTATGAACAATAAACCAACTGTTAATCATATAGACAGGTTTCTAGCATCGATAATTCTAGAAACTATAGGTCCGATTGAGATCGCGTTATTGGAAATCGGCGGCCTGTGGCAAAATGTGGGGAAATAGAATTTGAACCCTACAAATGGTACACTTTTCTTCCTCATAATCGTGTGCGTTGTTTGCACGAAAAGTTCTCAAAAACGCAGCGGTCCAGCAATTTGCCCCTCCCGAACAGGCACATTTTCAACAATATCGTATGTTTTCATTGTTTACGTCATGTTTGAGCAAAAGCGCGCGTGCTTAATATGACACAACAATGGAAAAAGGACGGGCACATCATGGGATTCTTTTCAATTGTTTGCGTCACGTTCGAGCTAAAGCGCGTGCTCAATATGACGCAAACAGTGCAAAAGGGACGGGCACATTGTAGGGCGATAGCACTGCACACCATGTCTTCGTACGTACATATACGTGAGTGGCATGCACGGGCACATGCATTTTGTAGTCAACTGAGCAACCATCACTGCACTGTATGTAGGCGGTCGACTGAGCAACTCTAATACAATATGGTATCGCCCTACAACTACGCCCTATAGTTGTAGGGCGATGCGTTTAACTTGCGAGCGTGCGTTCACACCATTGAATAATGTGCATTGTTTGCACGAGCTGCAGTTCTCAACTGCCCCTTCCGAACACGCACATTTTCGACTGGCCCTGCACTAGTCTATACTACAATTCCAGGAATCTCTGTCCCTCTGTCTGTCTTTCTGTCTGTCTGTCTGCCGATTATCTCCAGAACCGGGCACCGTATGGAGTTGAAAATTCGGCGGGTGTATTGCTCGGGACAACAGAATGTGCAGTGTCAAGTTTGAAGTGGTTTGGACCAACGGTTTTCGAAAAAGCTGCAAAAAAGCAGTATTTTCTGAGGCAAACGCGCCGGAATATAGCCTAGAACACAACGCACTGCCGTTCTTTTCAATTGTTTACGTCATGTTTGAGCAAGAGCGCGCCTGCTCAATATGACGCAACAATGCAAAAAAGACGGGAACATTGTAGGGCGATAGCACTGCACACCATGTCTTCGTACGTGAGTGGCATGCACGGGCACGGGCACATGCATTTTGTAGGCAACTGAGCAACCATCTGCACTGCACTGTATGTAGGCGGTCGACTGAGCAACTCTAATACAATATGGTACCGCCCTACAACTACGCCCTACAGTTGTAGGGCGATACCATATTGTCCAGTAAGGGTAAATATCAGTGCCGGGGGTTGACGACATTTTGTGCGCTTAACTTGCGAGTGTGCGTTCACACCATTGAATAATGTGCGTTATTTCGTCACCGTTTTCACGAACAGCCACATACTATATATATTATGTTGATTTTGAAGTAAAGTGTTTTCGAGATAATCACAAAAGAAGTTTCTCATATTTTAAAACTGCAAGAAATACTACTTTGCAACAACTTTGTGCAGCAAGAAAACCATCACACGATTCTACGTGAGCTGAAGTTTTACATAAACCCGGTAATAAGACTTAATAAAGCAGTTAATGAGTGGAAATTAATTAGTAAAGATATGTGGCTCTTTGTGAAAACGCAAATTCACGTTTCCCACATATTGGCCCTTTCTGTTCAACGTGTATTTCCATAGGCGCGCGGGAGTACGCGCGCGCGCCTGAAAATGTAACAAAGATATCGTCGCAGAGCTGACATACCGGCGAATCGACCATTTTGGCGATTTCGAGATTTTGTTATTTTTAGGGTTTATGAAGGTTGCTCTTTCAAGTATTTATGCCAACATTCTGAATTTTAGTCTGGATTTTGAGATTCAGAGCCCCCCCCCCCCCTTGTGGCGAATCACTCACAAAAACAAATCCATAATTTGACATAGTGACGAATACGGAATTTCGCTGGTAACCAGCTTATGTAAGGTGTGCGCTCAAAGTACCATCGAATGTTATTCGCCAGTTTGTCGAATTGGCGCGCACGTGCGCGCGCGATCCGACAAACTGACGAATAGCTACAAGCAATTCGCTGGTAACCAGCTGATGTAAGGTGTGCGTTCAAAGTACCAACAAAGGTTATTCGTCAGTTTGTCGGATTGCGCGCGCGTGCACGCGCGATCCGAGAAACCGGCGAATAGCATACAAACAGTGTGAAGAACAACCGGCTATTGGAGATTAATGTAATTTGACAAACTGACGAATACGTTTACGATCAAATAAAATCATATCGTACAACTTCTCTGATTAAATAAGTGACCTGATAGATACTAAGTTTCCTATTTTACTCCGAATACACACTAAAAGGGTTTTTATCGAAACATTAAGGGTAAAATACGGCGCCCAGAAAAACGTCCAACTTCAAACGCGAATTACTCGAAACAATGTTTTCGCTTATTCGTCGGTTTGTCAGCTCTGCGACGATATGTGGCTCTTCGTGAAAACGCAAATCTCATTTGACCTACTTTTACGTATTTCCGTGCAATGGGCTTTGTACGCGTTCAAAGGGCCAAAATGTATGTGGCTCTTCGTGAAAACGCAAAATGCAGTTATCGAGATTTCTGACCCTTGCAACATTAATGTAACTTAGAAATTAATGATGTTTTGCTTACAGAAACATGTCAAAATGGTTAAGTACATTGTTTTAATGCGAAATATCGAAAAAAATCAAAATCGAAAAAAATTGTAATTTTGGAGATATGTGGCTCTTCGTGAAAACGGTGACGATTTGCACGAGCTGCAGTTCTCAACTGCCCCTTCCGAACACGCACATTTTCGACTGGCCCTGCACTAGTCTTCTATACTACAATTCAAGAAATCTCTGTCTGTCTGTCTGTCTGACTGTCTGTCCGTCGATTATCTCCAGAACCGGGCACCGTATGAAGTTGAAAATCGGCGGGTGTATTGCTCGGGACACCAGAATGTGCAGTGCCGAGTTTGTAGTGGTTTGGACCAGCGGTTCTCGAAAAAGCTGCAAAAAAGCAGTATTTTCGGAGGCAAACGTGGCAGCTTAGAACATAACACCACGCGCTGCCGTTCTTTTCAATTGTTTACGTCAAGTTTAAGCTAAAGCGCACGTGCTCAATATGACGCAAACAATGCAAAAAGGACGGGCACGCGCACGTGCATTGTAGGGCGATACGTTGTCCAGTATGGGTGAATAGCACTGCATACCATGTTTTGGTATGTACACAGGCACATTATTTTGCAGTCGACTGAGCAACCATTGTAGGTGGTCGAAGTTCAACTTGGCATAAACTTCGACGTAAGTGTGCGTTCAACCTGTGATAACAACACCATTAAATCGCGTGCATTGTTTGCACGAGCAGTTCTCCAAAACTCTGCAAGTATGCAACCTATACCAGCGGCAAAGCAATTTGCGTTTCCCGAACATGCACATTTTAGACGGGCACTGCACTAGTCTTAATATTATTCCAGGAATCTCTGTCTGTCTGTCTGTCTGTCTGTCTGTCTGTCTGTCTGTCCGTCGATTATCTCCAGAACCGAGCACCGTATGAAGTTGAAAATCGGCGGGTGTATTGCTCGGGACAACAGAATGTGCAGTGCCGAGTTTGAAGTGGTTTGGACGAGCGGATCTCGAAAAAGCTGCAAACAAACAGTATTTTCTGAGGCAAACGTGGCAGTTTAGAACATAACACCACGCACTGGCGTTCTTTCAAATTGTTTACGACATGTTTAAGCTAAAGCGTGCGTGTTTAATATGATGCAAACAATGCAAAAAAGGACGGGCACGCGCATGTGCATTGTAGGGCAATACATTGTCCAGTATGGGTGAATAGCACTGCATACCATGTTTTCGTATGTACACGGGCACATTATTTTTGCAGTCGACTGAGCGACCATTGTAGGTGGTCGAACTTCAAACTTGGCACAAACTTTGACGTAAGTGTGCGTTGTTTGCACGAGCATTTCACAAAAACTCTGCAAGTATGCAACCTATACCAGCGGCAAAGCAATTTGCGTTTTCCCGAACATGCACATTTTAAACGGGCACTGCACTAGTCTATACTATAATTCAAGGAATCTCTGTCTGTCTGTCTGTCTGTCCGTCTGTCTGTCTGTCTGTCTGTCCGCCGATTATCTCCAGAACCGGGCACCGTATGAATTTGAAAATCGGCGGGTGCGTTGCTCGGGACAGCAGCATGTGCAGTGCCGAATTTGAAGTGATTTGGACGGGAGGTTCTCGAAAAAGCTGCAAAAAAAGCAGTATTTTCTGAAGCCTCGCGTGGCAGTATAGCTCAGAACATAACACCACGCACTGTCGTTCTTTTCAATTGTTTACGTCATGGTAAGCTAAAGCGCGCGTGCTCAATATGACGCCAACAATGCAAAAAAGACTCGGGCACCGTGACGCGCCATAACTTTATTGCACACGCACGGGCATTGTAGGGCGATACTATTGTCCAGTATGGGTGAATGTATAGCATTGCGTACCATGTTACCGTTTGTACACCTACGTGGTAGCTGCACGGGCACATTATTTTTGCAGTCGACTGAGCGACCTTACTGCAGGACGGTACCATTGTCCAGTAGGGGAAAGTAATATCTGCGCTATTTTGGCAGCCTTTTTTTGAGAAACACTCGCCCAAACAATTTCAAACTTGGCACAAACTTTGACGTGAGTGTGCGTTCAACCTGTGAAAACAAAACCAATGAATTGCGTGCGTTGTTTGCACGAGCAGTTCTCAAAAACTGCAAGCATGCAACCAATACCTGCGGCAGGCAATTTGCGCTTCCAAAACAAGCACGTTTTAGACAGCAAAAAAGCGGTATTTTCGGAGGCAAACATGGCAGCTTAAAACATAGCAACACGCACTGCCGTTCTTTTTAAATGTTTACGTCATGTTTAAGCTAAAGCGCGCGTGCTTAATATGACGCAACAATGCAAAAAGGACAGGCACGCGCACGTGCATTAGGGCGATACCATCAACATTAACAATCAACCTTAAGGCAATCAACCTTCACCAGTACCAGCGGTCAAGCAAGTTGCCCCTCCCGAACAGGCACATTTTCAACTTGCCCCTCCCGAACAGGCAAATTTTCAACTGGCCCTGCACTAGTCCTTACTACAATTCAAGGAATCTCTGTCTGTCTGTCTGTCCGCCGATTATCTCCAGAACCGAGCACCGTGTGAAGTTGAAAATCGGCGGGTGTATTGCTCGGGACACCAGAATGTGCAGTGCCGAGTTTGAAGTTGTTTGGACGAGCAGTTCTCGAAAAAGCTGCAAAAAAGCAGTATTTTCGGAGGCAAACGTGGCAGCTTAGAACATAACACCACGCACTGTCGTTCTTTTCAATTGTTTACGTCATGCGCGCGTGCTCAATATGATGTAAACAATGCAAAAAGGACGGGCACGCACACGTGCATTGTAGGGCGATACATTGTCCAGTATGGGTGAATAGCACTGCATACCATGTTTTCATATGTACACGGGCACATTATTTTTGCAGTCGACTGAGCAACCATTGTAGTGGTCGAACTTCAAACTTGGCACAAACTTTGACGTAAGTGTGCGTTCAACCTGTGAAAACAACACAATTGAACCGCGTGCGTTGTTTGCACGAGCAGTTCTCAAAAACTCTGCAAGTATGCAAGCTATACCAGCGGCAAAGCAATTTGTGTTTCCCGAACATGCTAATTTTAGACGGGCTCTGCACAACAGAATGTGCAGTGTCAAGTATGAAGTTGGAGGCAGCTTTTTCTGAGCCTCAACGTGGCAGATTATAGCTTAGAACACGCGCAGTCCTTTTCAATTGTTTACGTCATGTTTGAGCAAAAGCGCGCGTGCTTAACATGACGCAACAACGGAAAAAGGACGGGCATATTGTAGGGCGCGCGCGTGCTTAATATGACCAACAATGGAAAAAAGGACGGGCACATTGTAGGGCGATTGCACTGCACACCGTGTCTTCGTACGTGAGTGGCATGCACGGGCACACTATATGCATTTTGTAGTCAACTGAGCAACTATCACTGCACTGTATGTAGGCGGTCGACTGAGCAACTCTTGTAAAGGAAAAATAAGGACACAAGGGGAGTCCTTAGATTGTGTGTTCTGTGAGCACTGGCTGGGCAGGCGGGATTAATCCTGTTTTATTTCAAATTCAAATGTCCCATCATCCTCAGTGGAAGACAAGTGGGGAAAATTAGGCCGGTGGAGAGACTGATCATGGTGGAGATCGTTCTGGAAAATACAATAAGGGTAATCATAAATTGAGGGCAAACTATTCAACATCAAAATCGTCATGGTAATAAACTGGAAGAATAGGAGCCTATTTCCGACACCTCGTGTGGCGTGGCCTATTTTCGCCCATCCCAAACAATTGAAATTTTACATATGTGGATTCAAACAGTGCAATCAATAACTAGGGATCAATAACTGGGAAAATCACAGGCTTTACAGTTAACAATAAACATGAAACTGGGTTTAAATCTGGAAATAATCTTGCTCACCATCCGTAACCAGCCCAATGCCCTCCGATTCCCGCGGTTGCTAAGTCGGTTTGCTGCATTAGTCCGCATGGTGGCGCTATTGAAATATTAAAGTCGCAACATAGCCGCCCCTAAACTGTGCGCAATAGTTTACATATCGCTGGCTTTAGCATGGGTGCACAGATGGTGGAAGTTAACAGGTAAAGTTAAGAATCAGTAACTGGTTAGTAAGAAATAGTAACAAGTAACAACAGGCTTGACCAAGAGGCCGCCCCATGAATGGTCACAGGGAGTGTACTCTGCGGTAACAAGGACTAGGTTTCATCAGGTTCAGGCACAGTGGCAGCTTCAGGATTGCCGCCAAGGGCTGTTTCAGAAGGAAGCCGGATCAGGCGTGCCACTGGCCGGGTGTAGATGCGATCTCCGACCTGCACCCTTACGGTGCGAACCCGATTATCAGTACCAGGTAGTACCTCAGTGACCTTAGCCAGAGGCCAAGAGGCACGTCGTTGCTGCGGATCAGCCATCAGAACTACATCACCGACGGACAGGTTGTCGGTCTCACTGCGCCACTTCTGGCGGGCTTGCATGGCCGACAGATAGGACTGAACAAACTCCTTCCAAAATTTCTGAATCAGGGCTTGGCACTGGCGCCAGCGTCGCCGACTAAGCACGTCGCGCTCCGGGTAGACAACCTGTGGCGGGGCATGGTCCCGCCGCCCCATGAGAAGCATGAAAGGCGTGATGGGATCTGGATCAGCAATGTCTGATGACACATAAGTCAATGGTTTAGAATTCAGCAAGGCTTCTACCTCAACCAGGCAAGTATAGAGAACGGGAGCGCTAACTGACCGATCACCCAGGGTGGCGTACAAGGCAGTTTTCACTGACCGAATCTCTCTCTCCCAGGTCCCACCGAAGTGTGGTGCAGAGGGAGGATTGAACCTGAAATTGACTTTGTATTTGGCAAGTCTCTCCTGAAGGTCAGGTGCCATATCGCTGAATGCCTTCCTCAGTTCAGACAGACCTCCCTTGAAGTTAGTCCCATTGTCGCACAACAATTCATGAGGTGCGCCACGTCGTGAACGGAACCGATTGAACGCCAAAAGAAAGGCGTCGGCATCAAGAGACTCAAGCAAATCTAAGTAGACGGCTCTTGTGGTCATGCACTTCCATATTATACCCCATCTCCGTTCACTTCGTCTCCCCATGGTAACGGTGTAGGGGCCAAAGCAGTCTACCCCCGTGGAGTAGAATGCTGGCTTGCCAATTCGCAGACGAGCATGTGGCATATCCGCCATCTTCGGCACTGAAGGTTGACCACGCTGTCTTAGGCATCCGGTGCATCTGCCTTGTAGACCTCTGATGGACTGGCGTCCTCGCAACAACCAGAAGCGTCGACGCACATCTGCAAGCACAGTACCAGTTCCAGGATGCCCAAGACGTTCGTCAGCATTTTTGATCAGCAGTTGTACTATCGGGTGCTTGCAGTCAAGGACGACAGGGTGTTTCACATCAATGTCCAACTCCGCTCGACGGAGTCTCCCTCTAACCCGGATCAACTGGGTATCCTTGTCGATTTCAGGAGCAAGTTTTGCCAGGCGACTATTTCTTGGAACAGGCTTGCAAGCTGTAAGAGCTGCAAGATCATCTGGAAAGCTTTCAGCTTGTACCTTTCCGTAGAGGGCTTGTTCAGTCTCCATCCGTTGGTCAGCGCTGAGGAAATCTGGCTTAGTTTCATCCTCAGCCTCGCACAGAATGCGTCCATATGCCTCAACCAGGTTATCCCAGGAAGCAAACTGAGACGCTTCAATCTCTGGAACCTCTCCTCGATTGCCGAGGGTAAAAGCAGTAAAAAGACTGCCCTTCAGCTCAACTTCGCCATCATCCTGCTGCATGTGCGATGGCAAGCTTGGCCAATCCTCTTCAGGACCAGAGAGGAAGGGTGGAGCAGACCACCGACTCTCGGTGGTCAACTCGCTGAGCATCAATCCACGGGTCAGGTCATCTGCAGGGTTCTTGGCGGTGACTACATACCGCCAGATAGTGTGGTCTGTGAGTCTTTGAATCTCAGCGATGCGGGCACCGACAAAACGGTTGTACCGACAAGATTCTGAGGTAATCCAGCTCAAAACTGTCGTGCTGTCACTCCAACAAGTGACGGAAAGGCTCAACCTCAACTCATCCTCGAGAAGCTCGGTCAGTACAGCACCAGAAAGAGCAGCCTGAAGTTCCAATCGGGGAATAGTTTGCACACGCTTTGGTGCCAAACGGGAACGTGCCATGACAAACCTGACACACACCTCTCCTGACTTAGCAATGGCTCGAAGATAAGCAACGGACCCATAGGCCCTTTCGGAAGCGTCGGTGAACACGTGCAGTTGATAGGAAACATTTGCTGGATCAAAGTGTGGGGGAAGGTAGCACCGAGGCAGGTATACAACACGGCCGTTTCAATCCCATAGACATAACGTAATTAACTTGAGCAATTTTGTCCGCACAGCGTTTGTTTACTCCAGTGTATCAAAGTGATGACGTCATGCAATTTTGGAAATTCAAGATGGCGTCCTACATTTTCACGAAAACAAAACACGAAAAACATGCCCCAAACTTGCCCCTAAACCATGACTCACGCAATGTCTTATGGTGCCGTACTATAATTCTGACAGATAACGTGAGTTTCCACACATCGGGAGATTGAGCTGGCCCATAAAGTTCAAAATACCTGTAAAAATCAGGTTTGATTACGCTTCGTGCGTAAGGTTTTCTGTCGCTGTTTGTTTTGGAAGTTGTTAAAAATCCCCGACGAAAATCCCGTTTTATTATTGATACCAAGTTTTCCCCAAATATTCCTTGGTCACTTCTTGTAAATAAGGACCATCTTAAATGACTCATGAAATTTCATGCGAAAGCCAGCGGTAGATTTTTTTTTAGAACCGTTAAAATACAGCCACTTTTCACGAACACCGTGCGGTATACACGCACATCACACGGCACAATAGCTGTAGGGCGTGAACGCATGCACACACCACCGGGGCACGCGCGGCGTTAACACGGCGTTGTCGCACTGCCCTACCCGCTGAACTGCAGCGCAGCGAAACCGTGCGCTGAGAGTCACAGGCCGGTTGTTTGTGGGGGAAATATTCAGCAGAACTCCGGCCAGATCATGCATGTTAAGAATACAAATAATGTTGTACGAACACCAATAATATTAGGCAGGATGAGCTTTCTACATCAGACTCCTGTAGGTCAGACGGCCTTATGATTATATGAACAAATGTAATGCTCCAAGTTTGCTTGAAATTGTTTAAAAATTTCATAAAAGAAACAATATCCTGCCCCTATTTGCACAGCAATATTCATGAAGTAAAACCACTACGGGTGCAACACTTTATCACTTCAAACATTTTTCATTAACCCTAACTCCCTGGGTAGGGGGGGGGGGGGATCGTATTAAAATTCCAGGATTCAGGACTGTTCGGGCTATTAGGAAAACTCGAGCAAATGCAGTCCTGCAATTATGTCCACAAGTGCCCCAGATTAGCTTCATCCAAACCTCGAAAACTTCGAAAACCTCCCTGTTCAGTAGTGTTTTGCTTCGGGTCGGGTCCACTACAGGCCAAACCGATGCGAAACATTATAGATATAATCCAAATCCTGCGCTGTGTTAATTTCCAAACTGTTTCCATCTTTTTTCCCCGTTTATTTCGGGTTTTGAATTGACCCGATCCGACCTGATCCGCAAAATTTCAAACACAAAACTGACCAACCCATTTGAAATGACGGACAAACCGACCCGACCAAACACAAAGTTGGTTTTTGGTTGGTCGGGTCGGTGGCCATGCACGAGAAATCAGAATGTAAATATCATTTTCCAAAAAACAAAATTGTACTGCACATGTGCAGAGGTGATCCAGTCAATGGCCATAAATGGGCATTAAAATGTAAACATGTCCGATATTATGGGAGCGAGAACCAATCCATCGCGAGTGATCATGTGTGACGTGTGAATCCTGAGCTTAAATTCCAGAGTGATTCCTTGCCAAGTAGACAATAGAAGTTCTTAATGTGTCGGATCAAGGCGGTGCAGGGTTTGTTCAAATCTAGCAGTGCACATGGCATCACACAGTTTTGCACACATTCAGTTACCAAAAATACACCCAACACATGCTCATGTCTGTGAAATCCTGATCCTCCATGCACAAACGTGGGATGAAAGATTCACTTCCACTGTACGCTACGGCTCATTACTAGGAGTCAACGGCTCATCACACCACCATCTCACCAGAGCTCCAGAAGATACGAGAAACCCTCTTGTCAGGTGAATGATACTGCAAACTTCCTGAAAAATCATAACAAAATGTTTTTTTCAGGAAACAGGATCACATGTACAATTGCTTTTATTAGGGGGTGGGGTGGGGGTGGGGCATGGGAGAAATGTAGCCATACATTCAAAGTTCTACATGTACCGCCAACACGAAAACAGTGGTGCATGTCACATGTACATGATGTATCATGACACCATTACTTTATCAGGGGGGGGGGGGTGCACACTGCACAATAAGGCCTGTGCAAAGTCTAAAGTGGCTGGAAAATTTGGGAAGGTTGGTGATCTAGAAAAAAAAAGATCCATTTGTAGGGTACAGAATCACACAGAAACAAAACACCTCAATTTAGAATTGCCAATTTTTTTCATGTCCCAATGAAGCTGAGGCACTAATGTGTTTACATGAAAATGGATTTGGCATTTGGCTAAGCATTACTGAATAAATATGCAAAGCCTGAAATAAATTCAACGTCAGACATGCCAGAATACGTTCTGCGAACACGAAAGGTGGCATGTACAATTAAAAAAGATTTAGTCCGACATGTTAACTACTTTCATCCTGTTCATGTCAGAATCAAATTGTTATGAAATGTTCATTTTTTTTGGGGGGGGGGGGCATTTTTCTCTCTCTGTTGTCATGACCTGTTCGTATTGTTTTTATTGATTTTATACTGAATCGTGCAAATAGCATTTTTTTTACCTTCCAATTAAGGCCTAGTTGATCATGTTGATGTAATTTATGTATGGAAATCTTTCCCATGTATAACAAAGTTGTAGCACAATACACGACATGTCATGTCATGTACATATGCATCACGCCAATGGAGGAACTTCGTCCACACATGCACAAACCTAGGTACGGGTTAGATCCGCACGCGTGCCCGTACAAATACATGAACACGCAAACGGTCGAGTTGTCTCTAAACCATCAAGCGCTTGGGCTATGCGTGATACACACGCGCGTACCACGTACGCTTTACAACCAACTCGACCGGTTGGCATTCCGCGCACACACGAAAATATGTCACTTTTTGCACCTAAATATCAACAAATCTACCGCTGGCCTTACCTTCAATCCGGACACATATGCAGCACGTATCTCCAAAACAAAGTTGATGTGGGCCTTACATCGGGGAAAACACCTTTTAATGTGACAAATTTGTCACATGACCGCACACCGCGATAATCAGTTCGGTCGAACACCAGTTTTGACGGACGCCGTTTTCAGTAATTTAATATTCATGAGCTGATATTCATATATGGAAATAAGGGGAAAATAACAATCTTTTGAATAAGAAACATTTTGAACTTTGACCGATTAATCTACCAATGACATTCCAAATATTCCCAGATATAAATATTCATGATACGAAACTCGCTTGGCCCGACCCACGAAGAGTGTCGGTGACGTCATTTTACGGAGATTTTCGATTGGCGCGATTAGAACGACAGAGGGCGCCATTATTTTGCGCTGGAACAGCCGTGACAAGAGGGAGATCATTGATTTATTTGCGCCATCTCATGTGTTGGGCACGTAAGCCATCCTTGCCCTCGTCGGGGATCTCCTCATCCCAGCCCCATGGTCTCTTTCAAAGCTCCTGAACGAGCATCTTTCCCCTCACCATATATGGCATGAGGTAACCAAGGGGGTCCTTCCCGGCACATCTCATCACATCACTTAGAACAGCTCTTCGAGTGAGGACCGGCCACTCATGAAGTTCGAGTTTGTATCGGAGTGTGTCGTGCTGGAAATTCCAGTGGGGTCCTAAGGCTGCTTTCTCAGGTGAATCACAACTTGAACTCAGCCATCTCTCAGTACTGCAGGAGCGGGCTTCCTGTGGAAGGTCTTTGACCACTTCCGCAAAGTTGCTGGCCCATTTCACAATGGGAAATCCTCCAGCGCCGAGCGCTTGACATAGTTTTCCAACTAGGTCTTTCGCTTCTAGGACACTGGACTTGCCATCTAGGCAGTTGTCAACGTAGAATGAATTCATAACACTTCTGACAATGTCTGGATCTGGAAACCGGTCCTGCACATGCTTCTGCAGGGCGAAAGTGGCACAGCATGGACTGCATGTGGTGCCAAAGGGGAGTACGTTCCACTCCAGTTCCTCCATTTCGGCATCAGGGTCCAAATCCCTCCACAGGAACCGAAGCATGCATCGGTCACACTCTAAAGTGCGCACACAGTGAAACATTGCTTTGATGTCACCGGACACAGCTACTTGATGCTGTCTGAATCGTACTAGCACTCCAACCAGCGGTGAACCCAGGGTGGGCCCAGGAAGCAAGTGGTCGTTCAGAGACTCTCCCCGGTACGGGAACGCACAGTTGAAAACCAGTCTTGTCTTCCCATTCTGCCGAACAACATGGTGGGGTATATACCAATGCCGCTCGTGGTTTCTCTCTTTCTCCTCAGCAGTGAGCATGCATGCGGACGAGTCCTGCCTCCTTCAGTTCCCGGATTTTCTTGGAGTGCTCAACAGCGAGTGCTGGATCTCTCTGCAGACGTTGCTCATTCCGTTTCAGAGCAGGTGACACTGCACTTGCCGGACAGGTAAGTACCTCGTTGTCACGTCTCCACAGGAGGGGGGTTGCGACACGGTCAATTCCATCTACATTTACATAGGTAGATTTTGCCTCAAGGAGATCAACCGCTCGCTGGTCCTGCTTGGATCGAGTGGCTTGTTTTCGATCAAGATACATCTGCGCATCGTGCTGCCACATCTTACAAACATTCTCGTGGAGAACTCTGTCGGCTTCCATGGGTGGTAGTACAGACAAGAAGTTTACTTCATTCTTGCGCCTGGACTTCAGAATGGGGCCCTGGACAGCCCACCCAAGTTTGGTGCGCACAGCCACTGGTGCACCTTCGGGACCAAAATGACTCTCAATGGGAACAATCAGATCTGGGCGATCACTGCCGATCAGCAATAATGGCCGTGCCTCCTTGACTTCCTGCAGTGGAAGACCCCGCAGATGCGGCCACCTCCTTTGCAAATCTCGTGCAGGAACAGAATGCTCTGAAAGCCTCAACATGGAAGACGAAAAGACATTGGAAATGGTGATGCGTGAATCTTGGTCGTGGATTGGTGCAAAATCGACCGAGACTATCACGCCCTTGCAGGGGGTACATTCCTCCCTGGCGGTTGCAATTGGCATCTTGGTGCTCTCACCCTTGAGGCCAAGTGCCTCGGTAGCTTCGCTAAGCATCAAGGAGAAGTTGGCAGCATCGTCCAACAAGCAGTACGTCTCCAGCTGTCGACCGTTGGCATAGAGCGTGACTGGCAAAATCTTCATGCTGACGTCAGGTAGCCAAGGGTTTCCATCCCCGTAAAAGACAGACAGGTTTGAGTCGAAGGAGGAATAGTACACTCCATACCCTGGTTGCTCCATCAGATCATGGAGAACGGTCAGGTGCATCTTGTCGCATCGGCGACAAGGCTTGCGTAGGTCGCACTCCTTTCCGTTTTTGTGCAGGCGTGCACACTGCCAGCAGCGTTTGTCAGCCTTAATCCACTTCATGCGCTGTTCCATCGTGAGATCGCTGAATTTGTCGCATCGAGAGAGCCAGTGTTCTTCCCGGCAGTGGGGACAACTCTTCCGGAAGGGTTTCTTGCCATCACTTCGGGTAGCCTTATAGGCAGATGCGCCCTTTGGCGGATTGCTGGTAGTCTTTCCAGCCAGTTCCATGTGGTAGGCAGCTGCACCTTTTCTGCGGCGGTCCCGGTTGGTTGGGGGGAGTTCAACCTTAATACTCTCGCTGAGCTGCACCTTCTTTCTGGCTATGGCCGCCGTGTCTTGCAGCCACATGTTGATGTCAAGCAGAGAAAAGTTGTTGACATTTCTGGCCTTCATAGCCTTCAAAAAGGCCGTCTGATGGGTATGTGACAGGCGACTGTACAGGATGCAAGCTGTAGAGTTGGCATTCAGTTCCGCCTGGCCTTCCGGTGCACTCTTGAGTTGCGTGACCAACGCTGACACCGCTGCTGCAAACTCTACCATCCCCTTAGAGTCACTGGCTGTCAGTCTCGGCCACGACGTAATCTGGTCAATCTTGGCACGTATTAGGACACCAATATCACCATAAAGCTTCTTGAGGGTGGACATGGCCTTAGTGAAGGGGCTACCATCATGCTCAAGCCCGAGGACATCCTTCTTGGGTTGACCACTTAACTTCGACCTGACGATGAAGTATTTTTGTAGCTCGCTGAGGTGGACTAAGGGCTTGATGCAGCCATCTATCATTGCCTCGAAACAACGAAACTCTGCTGGGTCGCCTCCCCCGAAGTTGGGAACCTCCATGTTTATACCTCCGGCTGAGGCTGCCAACATGGAGCTTAACATCATTTGGCTTGAGGAATTGAAAGTAGGCGGTTCGGAAAAATCAGAAACCCTAGCAGTAGAGGCAGAAACCTGAGTAGGAGTGGGGTTTGTCATGCGGCACTGAGCAGAGGGCTCAGACCACGCGAGCGCGGAACTCGCGGCGGTTTGCGTGTGACCCGCTTTCGCGAGGGGGCTCGCGAGAGGGCGTGCATGGCTCGCGGAAAGGTGTGTTTGCCTCGCGTCGGGATGCGCGAAACTCGCGGCCGGTTGCGCAAATTGCGCGAAGCTCGCGGCTGGTTGCGCGAAGCTCGCGACGGATTGAGCGAAGGTCGCGACGGGTTGCACGAGACTTGCGACTGGTTGCGCGAAGCTCGCAACGGGTTGCACGAGACTTGCGACTGGTTGCGCGAAGCTCGCGACGGGTTGCACGAGACTTGTGTCTGGTTGCGCGAAGCTCGTGGCTGGTTGCGTGATTTGCGCGAAGTTTGCGACGGGTTGCGCGTAGCTCGCGGCTTGTTGCGCGAGACTCGCGACTGGTTGCGCGAAGCTCGCGGCTGGTGGGGGAGACTTTCGACTGGTTGCGCGAAGCTCGCGTCTGGTTGCGCGAAGTTCGCAACAGGTTGCGAGTAGTTCGCGGCTTGGTGCACGCATTTTGGGCTTAATTGTACCAGACTCGCAGCTGATGAGTGTGCAGCAGGTAGGCCTATTGGATTTATGGCCTGGAGCGCCGCTGGGTTTTCCGCTACCGGCAAGCTCGGAACACTGGTGGAGGGTGAAATTACAGAATGGCTTACAACACTAGTAATATTTGGCAAATCATGTGATTGTGAATACAAAGGTGTGTCACTCATGCTGGTTTGTTCAAAATTCGGATTCTACCCTAGCCAGATTAAAATTGAGTTCAGCAGTTTGTAATTGTCTCTCGAGCTCAATCTGTCGAGCATATTGTTCCTTTTCCTTCAGGATGCGGCTTTCTTCATGTTCGGCGACCAGCCGTGCCTGGGCCAACTCCATTTGTCTTTCACGCAGTGCCAGCTCCTCTCTTGTTCGCTGTGCTGCCAGTAGTCGCTCGTCCAACTCTTTGCTCTGGGCCATCGTGGCTCTTTCCAGCTCGAGTCGTCGCTTGGCGGCTTCATACTCCTGCTGCTTTTCCACAGCACGCATGCGAACAGACGAGTGGCTACTACTGCAGCTTCGCTCTGATGCAATTGAGCTGCATGTAGAGTGCTCCGACGGAAGTATTGCAGACTCAGCTACTGCAGGTAGTTTGTCCGTTGATTCTGGAGGACCCTCAGTGGGTGGTTTTGGAGCTGTTCCTCTAGGTCTGAGGACTCGTTTTTCTACGTTGCACGGCTGTTCCAGCGCAAAATATTGGCGCCCTCTGTCGTTCTAATCGCGCCAATCGAAAATCTCCGTAAAATGACGTCACCGACACTCTTCGTGGGTCGGGCCAAGCGAGTTTCATATCATGAATATTTATATCTGGGAATATTTGGAATGTCATTGGTAGATTAATCGGTCAAAGTTCAAAATGTTTCTTTTTCAAAAGTTTGTTATTTTCCCCTTATTTCCATATATGAATATTAGCTCATGAATATTAAATTACTGAAAACGGCGTCCGTCAAAACTGGTGTTCGACCGAGCTGATTATCGCGGTGTGCGGTCATATGTGACAAATTTGTCACATTAAAAGGTGTTTTTCTCCAAACAAGAGGTTTTCCCCGATGTAAGGCCCACATCAACTTTGTTTTGGAGATACGTGCTGCATATGTGTCCGGTTTGAAGGTAAGGCCAGCGGTAGATTTGTTGATATTTAGGTGCAAAAAGTGACATATTTTCGTGTGTGCGCGGAATGCCAAACGGTCGAGTTGGTTGTAAAGCGTACATGGTACGCGCCTTTGTATCACGCATAGCCCAAGCGCATGATGGTTTAGAGACAACTCGACCGTTTGCGTGTTCATGTATTTGTACGGGCACGCGTGCGGATCTAACCCGTACCTAGGTTCGTGCATGTGTGGATGAAGATCCTCCATTGGCGTGATGCACATGTACATGACATGTCGTGTATTGTGCTAAAACTTTGTTATACATGGGAAAGATTTCCATACATAAATTACATCAAAATGATCAACTAGGCCTTAATTGGAAGGTAGGCTAAACAAAAATGCTATTTGCACGATTCAGTATAAAATTAATAAAAACAATACGAACAGGTCATGACAACAGACAGAGAAAAATGCCTCCCCCCCCAAAAAAAATGAACATTTCATAACAATTTGATTTTGACATGAACAGGATGAAAGTAGTTAACATGTCGGACTAATTTTTTTTATTGTACATGCCACCTTTCGTGTTCGCAGAACTTATTCTGGCATGTCTGCGTTGAATTTATTTCAGGCTTTGCATATTTATTCAGTAATGCTTAGCCAAATGCCAAATCCATTTTCATGTAAACACATTAGTGCCTCAGCTTCATGGGGACATGAAAAAAATTGGCAATTCTAAATTGAGGTGTTTTGTTTCTGTGTGATCCTGTACCATACAAATGGATCTCTTTTTTCTAGATCACCAACCTTCCCAAATTTTTCAGCCAATTTAGACTTGGCACAGGCCTTATTGTGCAGTGTGCACCCCCCCCCCCGATAAAGTAATATAAATATTGTTAAATGGTGTCATGATACATCATGTACATGTGACATGCACCACTGCTTAGTGTTGGCGGTACATGTAGAGCTTTGAATGTATGGCTACATTTCTCCCATGCCCCACCCCCACCCCCTAATAAAAGCAATTGTACATGTGATCCTGTTTTCTGAAAAAAGCATTTTGTTATGATTTTTCAGGAAGTTTGCAGTATCATTCTCCTGACAAGAGGGTTTCTCGTATTTTCTGGAGCTCTGGTGAGATGGTGGTGTGGTGAGCCGTTGACTCGTTGTAATGAGCCGTACAGTGGAAGTGAATCTTTCCCATCCAACGTTTGTGCATGGAGGATCAGGATAACACAGACATGAGCATGTGTTGGGTGTATTTTTGGTAACTGAATGTGTGCCAAACTGTGTGATGTCATGTGCACTGCTAGATTTGAACAAACCCTGCACCGCCTTGATCCGACACATTAAGAACTTCTATTGTCTGCTTGCCAAGGAATCACTCTCGAATTTAAGCTCAGGATTCACACGTCACACATGATCACTCGCGATGGACTGGTTCTCGCTCCCATAATATCGGACATGTTTACATTTTAATGCCCATTTATGGCCATTGATTGGATGACCCCTGCATGTATGTGCAGTACAATTGTGTTTTTTGGAAAATGATATTTACATTCTGATTTCTCGTGCATGGCTATCGCAAAACTGACTCGTACATGAACCATGAACTGTAGGCAAAATGGTCATGTCTCTACTGAAACTGCATTAATGACAACATTGTTGCCACTTTGAAGGGGCTGGATCCATGCTTACATTATCATTGTGGTTTTGTACATAAGGGCAGAATTGTGACCTAGGCTTATTTGTATACACCGGTAGGAATTCCTCCAGGACTACTGCGAACGCCACTCCTAAGTGCCAACATTATGAATTGAAATACAACTGGATATTAACTTTCACTGAAAATCAACTTAGGCTTGAGATCCCTTACCGCCCGGTTCCCAGACGGTCTGGGCTAAGCCTCGCCCACTCCGAGAAAGGGATTGGGACTCCTCTCCAAAGTGGGCGAGCTCGGATTAAGAGAACGAAGTACAAGTCTGACTGGTGGGCCCTCTCCTGAACCTAACAAAAGAAGCAATTTGCAAGGCGATAATCCTCACTGCTGGGTAACAAAGACCCGGCAAATCAAAGGGCGCGCCGCCGGTAATCCCTCCCGTGGACTGCTATTGTTGGTGACCCATTGCCCTCGCAGGCCTATTGAAAAGCTTGAGTGATCAGTGAACATGGGTTTCAATTAGTTACGTGGTACATGTACGTTTTTCTCCCCTTAAATGTATACAAATGTATATGGACTTGCACCGATGAATCCCTGATCTACAGAGTGGGTCATTCCCACCTGCTTCTCGAGCGTCACGCTTGAATAAAAGAGTGCCCAGTATGCATACCGATCGGGGCTACCGAGTGGGCCACTTCATACCGATCGGGGGCCAAGCCCACCCGCTTCTATTCTCAAACGGGTATCAGACTTTTCTGTTTAAAATGCGTATGCATTAACGTGAATAAGGGGCAAGTGCGGTGTTGTAGTCTAAAATTCAAAAACATCACATTATTACCACACGCAAAACAATTCATGTTCGTCATATGGGGAATACTTTATTTCAATTAATACAGAATGAGATATTTCGTACATTTGATCAATTCCGAGAATATAGATATCGAACATCGTATTTCGAAAAATTCAAAGAAAAAAAATTCACACCTTGATCATCTAGCATTTAACCATTGTTCATATATAGAACTTTGCAAACTAGGCAGTTTTATCAAGTTTATTTGTCAAATGATTTCATGCAAACATAAAATACTTGCATTCTATGAAGATAGAAAAGAATAAAATTCCACACCAACCCAACCTGAGTTGGGCGCTGTATCCTCGAACAATAACCACTAATCCGTTGATAACAGCTATTGTTGTGACCCAGAGGGCCACTCCAGCAGGCAACCGAGCGTCACGCTTGAGTAACCGGGCGGGTACAGTGTTCGAAGCGGGCGGCAGCTTACTGGGCGGGCCAAGCTCGCCCGGTTCTCGAACGGTCCCATTCCGGATCTCATTCCTTATTGTTGACACTACTAAAATGCTATTATTAAATTAGATATTTTTATCGGTGCTTTTTTTTAAAGTAAGTAAATAGGCTACTAATAACAAGTTTTAAGTTGGCCTTCTTTTCCATACTTTAAAACAGATAAGACTTTTACGTGTATGTGGATTGCTTTTTTAGGTGTACTGCGACCAATGAGAGACCAATGGATTTCACTAAATTGGCCGCCAAC